ACACACACACACAGACACACACAGACACACACACACACACACACACCAGTTTGGTACAAGGCTTTCAGTGCGGCGATGTCAGACAGATCCTCTGCTCTCGCTTGACACAGCCAGCGATTGTAACTGTAGGAGGGAGACACACACACACACAGATATTATTTTTATTCTTATATTTGAATATGCTTGTGAACTACTGTAACTGTGAAGTACAGTAGTTCACTTAATGTAAAGACATAAACACAAAGGTCATGATGGGACAGCTGTTGCAACTGTATTCGTTGATCCTAATATTGGTAATGCGGCTATTAATCTGACACGGCTCCACCGAGAACTGGAGCCATGTGCTTCACAGTATAATATTTCACATTCCTGATCGAATGTTCCAGGTTTCTCTGAGTTGGGTCGAACTCTTACTTCCTCTGGTGCTGTTTGTGCATGGCTGCCTCTGACATCTGGCCCTGTAGGATCAGTTTCCGCTGTTTGTCCACGTCACCTTCCATCCGGGCAAAAGCATGATTTCCCACCTGACCCAGATCTGACTCCAGATTCTCCTCCTCTGAATCATCTGCACACGCAAAGAAAAAAGTAGATGGTCGGCGATTATCTTCTTATAATTTCATTAACGTGCTTTGATGGTATTGGTAGCTGTGGCACATGGGGCATGTTCAGCTTTGCAGTATACAAACATACATGCACGTACACACATAAGAGCTAAGAGCACTCCTTACAGAATGAACACAGTCAATACTCCTGGACCCGGCTTCATTCTAATCATCAACATCTTGATCTTCCTCTCATATGAACTGTACTCATTAACTTTCCAAATCATAAGTCTGCTGACCACATTTGCCGCACACTCGACTGTGCAGGAGCGACATTACTTGCATGTGTTTGTGGAAATGATTGAGGTCACATATCAGCAAACAGAGTTCAGGCTCAGGTTCAAGTCTGTCTCCATGCTTGTTTTCTCTGCGACCACATGTATCGTTCGTGTGCATGTCCACGCATTTTATCTGTGTCCAAATGGGCATGTGTTGTCCGCCAGTCGTGTCTTCGTCAGCCTGTTCTCGTTGGGTTTCGCTCGCAGGCGGCCTGCTTGCTTTGGATCGACACCCCAAAGCCACATTGTGTGTCTTTGAAGCGTCGTGCCAGCTGACACCAGACTGGAGGTCTAAGGAGTCAACAGGCTCAGCTCAGAAACCACAAACACTCTCTAACACATTGTGTTTACTTTCGTGATCCTCTTCACCAAAAACTAACATTCAGACAAAGTGCAAGCAGAAGCTGAGGTTGGTAAACGATCGGTTTTACAAAATATAGTTTATATGCGGGTTTATGGCCTGAAAGGAAGTTTTAACAGAAGTGGCCAAGAGTAAAAATATCTAATGTCCTGTTTTTGTTCTTTTTTGCTTGATTTACTTTCTATGCAAGAGAGAAAATGACTGCAGGGTTGTACGTTTTGGATGTTCTCAGTTCCTCTATGACTGCAGGGAAAACGACTCAGTTTACATACAGTGCTTTGTAAAGTGTCGTCTCACAATAAGCCTCCAAAGCTTCGATACGCCTTGATTTGAATTCTTCAAATAAGATTTAATTTAAGTAACACGTATATTTTGTGAGCAAATGTTTTTTGTAAATCTGATTCTGATTAGAAGAATCCTTAAAAACACGTACAGACTTTTTTACTTACTGTTCTTTAACCAATGTTATGGTGCATTTATTAATATACTCAAAAACAGTCTTTTCTGAGTTTATGCTGATGTTTTGTGTTAACTTATTTTCCATACAAACTGGAACACACGGTGTGTTACACACAGTGTGTTACAAGGTTCTGCAAAATCAATCCCTCACGCACATTTCTCAGATAAACTGGAATTTCATTTGAAACTAAAAAACAATGTCCTGAAAAACCCCGTGGGATCAGAACAAACACCTGCTCTGTGTTAGAGCGACCGAAGCTCTTTGTAATATGCAGATGACACTCTGTGGAAAACATGACGTCCCTCGAAAAGGCATGAATGAGTGAGAATGTGTGTGAGTAAATGTGTGAGAATGCACACGAGTGGAATAAAGGACCCAGGCGGCCGCATGTTCCGCTCACACAGTCACAAAATATTCTACGACACTGCTCGTCCATGTCCGCTGCCTGGCTCACTGAGCGGCAGAGCTCGAACACGCTGTCCTCGTCAAAATCGAATCTTTGTCCAGTCTACTCTTGATGTTTTGGTTTGAAGAGCTGCTGAGTGGTTGATTAATGGGCTGTGACGTTGGATGTGCGACTGACCGGTTTCATAAATAGCCGATGAAGTTTGTTGACCTCATGTTCTGTTCTAGTTTCTGACTGGTGGTTCAACAGAACTGTGAGATGAGCGAGAATAGAAACAGGGAGAAGGAAAATATTAAATTATGCCCCTGTGTGTTTATTTAATTTAACAGTCATGAACATCAACATCAGTTGATCTTTGACTATTATACTAATGACACAAGTGAGTTTGATTCCAAAGTCAAATATCAACCAATTGAAAACATCTGATTGCTCCTCTTATAATCAGATCACCGACATGAAAGTGAAGCCTATTACAGTATGTTCCCTTTCTAATGCTGGGAAACATTTAATCACATTAAACAGACCAGAATGGCACCGAGAGCAAATACCTCCACCGAGGCCATTTCCATCACATTGCACATGTTTGATATCAGTCGACTAAAAATGGTGTTTGTCCATCGACGTCCATGAATTATTCCCTGAAAAATTGGTAAAAATATGAAAACACCATCTCACATCGTTAAAAATGTTTTGGTGTAATCCTTCTGACGACCACGCCAACACACGGGGTCTGTTTTGCTCTCCTTGGCGGGAGATGAAAAGATTTGTGTTGACGTTTTGTACCTTCAAGGCTGCCCGGCTTCTCTGCGATGCGAATCTGTCTCTCGGGGACGACGGGTTCACCCTCAGAGTTGCCAATGTCGGCTGGGATGAGAGGCAGGCTGGTCTTTTCCTCTTCCTCCGAGCGAGGGTAGTACAGAGGCAGTAACTTCTTGAACACCGGCTGAAGGAACAAACATTTAAATTAATATTCACACTAATGCTACAAAGCTGCTTTTTGTTTTTTTTAGCATACAGACTCTTTCTTTAACACTTTCCACCGGGGCTGAGCTGAGGAAAAACATCATGACCACCCCGGTTCTAATGAGCAGTTTGACTGTCAAACAGCTCGGACTCACCGCGACATGGACTTAACAAAACATCTGAAGGTCTCTTGTGGTATCTGGCACCGAGACGTTAGCAACACATCCTTTAAGTTCTGTAGGATGAGACGTGGAGCGGCTCACACTTGCTCCAGCACCCGTCACCGATTAGTCCTAACACTTTAAAGATGTTCCAGGTTTTCAATCCCGCTCATTCCATCCACATCACACCACACAGACTACGAGAACCCACTGCTGACGTGTGCCACTGTTGCGTGATAATCGATATTAGCGGTGAAATGTTCGAACGTGAACGATACCCACCTCCTCTGCGTCCGACACCACGAACACCACTGCATCGATGCTGTTTCCATAATTCTCCAGGAACCTGCGCACTGTTCCTGTCAACACACATTCACACCTGTCACCTAACAAACGATCACACGTCAAACAAATACAAACACACGGGATGAAGTCTCCGTGTTGCTGAGAGACAGTCGAGACGTAAAGCAGCGAATCTGCACATCGAAGAAGAACTGAACTGTGAAAACTGTTTCTATAATCAGATTATTAGATTATGATCAAATTAACACACCACAGTTTGTGATCTAATTAAACAGATGTTTGTGTGCCTGTATAATCTGATGACCTCATTTTGTGTAGACACAGTTTACCACATGTTGTGTGTCTTTGTGGGACAGAAGTTAAAGCTTGATTATTACATAATGAATGTGTGTCTCTGTCTCTGTGTGTGGGTGTAAGAACCAAGACAGAATCTGTGATATGTGACATGTTGTGTGTGTCTGTGCCTCACACACGTGTTGTGTCTTTTGTACTGACGCTTGTGTGAGTGTGTGTGTGTCTTACTGAACGCGATGTGTGTAGCATCCTCCAGTGGGTAACCTCGTTTGGTCGTGCTCACCACACATATACCGACGGACGCCATTGACTGCTCTCTGTGGTGACAAGAAAAAAAATTCACACACACATTTATACTTCACAGCAGCGGTTTGATTGTTTCCTTACACACTCACACAAACACTACACATAACATCAAACACCAAATGATGTACGAACAAAAACATGGTCTGACGGACAGAATGGTTGATTGGGTTGATCTGACGGTTCTTACGCAGCCAGCTGCATGATGTTCCTGTAGCAGCTGTACAACGAGCTCTCAGCCGCCGTCCTGTACTTGCTTTTGAACTTTGGTCCCACCGTGTGGATGATGAACCTCGCTGCCAGGCTGAAGCCTTTGGTCAGCTTCGCCTCACCCGTCCGACATCCTGCACGGAAACAAAACCGATTTACTGTCGGTTATGACTGTGAAGCCTATTGACGCGTTTCCCTTCTTCTTTATGATCCACCATCATACAAGACAAAGAAAGATGCAGATGTTTTAATGAGCAGCTTGATTGAATATAAACGGACTCTCGGGCCTTCGGCGGACGTCTGCTCTCTACTGAGCTTCACATTGCATTATTTCATGAGTGTAACTGTGGACCTTTAATAGGAAGCTCACTTCAGATCAGCAAAGCGATGACAGCCTCGGTTACTTTTTCATTGGATGCAGCTGAGCGTCATGTGTCTGGTTACGTAAAACCACCAGCGAGTACGCACTCATATGCTGACATTGTTTTATTCTGCCTCCAGACTGAACTCACAGCATCACTGAGCAGACGAACCAAACAAAGCTGGACTTCATCCGTCCACTTTGTTTTTAATGACATCAGCTCTACCTTTTACTTTGAGCAGCTCTTCTCGCAGCTCCGCCCCTGCGAGCTGATGGATGCTGTCAGACACGGGGTTCTTGTCGTTCAGGGACTCGTTGCTAGTGTTCACAATGGCGGTGCAGTTCAGGAGGGCGATGTCCCCGCTGCTGTTGTGGGTAAAAAAATAAAAGTTACAGCGTTAAGATTTTCATAAAAGCACAAATATACAAGTTTGTGTACAGCGAGGAACAAAAGTCTGAGACCACTCTGTTGTCTGCAGAGTCTGGACACAAAGATGGTAAACAGAACTTCAGTGAGATGAGAACTACCTGAATTGACCGAATTCATCTTTGAGATACTTTGCAGTTTGGCACAAACACTGAAGGAGCCGGGGTTTCCTACCTATTCTGCAGCCATCCACCAGGGGGCAATTGAGACATTTCAGCTTCACTCTCAGGGAGCAGTCGAATCGTCCAACTTCAATTCATGGAACATTTTTAATCACATCATTGTGTTTGGTATGTTGTTGAAAGTATATCTTCATCAGATATACTGTTTTCAATATTCATCTCCATTCTTGATATTGTATAGTATGTAGTAGTAGTTTTATAGTATGTAGAAGTATTTAATGTAAGGATTGGACGAGCACACACACACACACACACATCTGCACATATTTATGAAACTAACTTTATATATTTTTGTAAAGTAATGTGCTTACTTTACTGCTTCAGAGCGGTCGTGTTATTACTCTGAAGCCCTTCAAGGTTTGTTTGGAGAGGAAAATGAGGAACTACTCAACCATGTGTTGAAAGCATTTGGTCACAAGACAGGTTGAGCTTCCAGGAACGAGGTTTTTTTTTTTTCTTTCTTTCTTCCTTTCACATCAACCCTCTTCGGATTTTAAAAGATGAGTCACAACCCAAAGCCAACGACTGCCAGAGAATAACTGCAGCGAGAAACAGACCTCGTCGAGCTGTTTTATAATCTCATATACAGTAAATCTGTATCCATCCAAATATTCATTGTGATGAGTACTTGTCCTCGCATGCAGCTTTATACACTGTAATGTGTAACTGTCCGTGATGTGTGAAAGTGACGCTGCAGCAGTTTGATTATAAAAAGCTCCCGGTCCTGATCTTCATTCCTTCATAACAAAGTTGATCAATGTCAGGTTTTTAGTTGATCTGATTTCAAAATTTCATCTCGTAATTTTTTCTAAGAGCAAAACATGCAAAAGTGCAGGTTTATTGATCACGATAAAGATTTTAATTTGACTGAATCCCATATTTGTTTATAGTGGGGCTGTTTAACACTCATTGACTAGTGCAACCTTTAACAAAGGTTCACTAGAAGAGGGTTTTTTTTTTATATCAAGTGGTCACAAGACAAAGAGCAGCACTGCTCGGGGGTCCATTCTTCGTGGTCGTGGCCGTGCTGCAGGAATGTGCCTGATCGTGACGACGGAGCATTGGAGGGCTGCTACACAACAAGGCTCTCACAGAGAAAGTGCCGCCATGTCTGGTTTCAGACGGTCATGTGTTCCTGCTCAGAGGGATTTATAAAGTGATCTGGACTCTGGACTGAGCTGCGTTAGCACACAGAGACACGGGCAGCATTCGAACTATGAACCCAGAGCTGCTCTAGTGACAGCTGACGAGTTCGTGCTGCTGCTGCTGCTGTGTTTTCTAGGATGTCACTCACATCTGATAAACTGTGATGTGATGACAGGGCGGATCCTGACAAACCTTCACTGCTTGTCTCACAGAAAACCTCACTGTATTAGACGCACTACTATTGCAACATTTGTCTTTTTCAACATTTTGTTAACCCCTTAACTTTAAATGGGCTAAAACTAGTTTTGTAATCCAATGAAAGTGGATTTAACCTGTCGGCAGTTTTGAAACATTTGGCTTTATTACTGAAATATAAATAACTACAGAAAACCTGATACAGCAAAAAAATATTACTCAAGCCCAGTTGTCCTAAAACTACCACGTCACTACCGACACGTTGAGCTCGTCACGATGTAAAAAACACATTGTGACTTGGAGATTCATCGATTTTCCCACGAACATCAAAAAATCAGTTCACAGAGAAAGTAGAAGGAAGATGGTGTAAATCAAACTTTCCAGGGTTTGGGATGTTTGATCAACTTGTTCAAACATCGAATAAATGAAGCATGTAAATCCTGGCTCTGGGTTTAATTCTGCCCATTTCGTTAAATGTCTGAAGGACCACAGTCAGTCGAGGGAAGGTTTAAACAAAACTAGAATTATAAACCAAAGTAATGATGGTAACAAAGTTAAATACTGAGCCTGAAACAGCAAAGTTAATTTTTGAGTAACAGACAATCTGTGGCTTTTTATTTATAGTTTTAACTTTCATAGATTATATTAATTATACAATACGCTAAACACCCGTTATTTTCTCTCTAAGATGGTTTCTGTCATGTTAGGTCGTTCTTATTAAGTTTTCAAACGTCCATTTTTACAGAAAGTTTCACTAAAATGAAAAATCATGATTGACAGCCGAGACTGACGTTAGATTGGTCGGGTGCGTGTATCGACAGAACGTTGATGCCACGGCTGCACGCTTCGATCAAAACTGTGCAAATTGGTGACATCCGATATTTCAACATCGTGTTTTGTGCGAAAGTAGGAAGTGGAGACGCCTAGTCCTTTATTTAAAGTCCAGGATTTTGATTTGTTAAATCCAGCTTTGTTTATATTTTGTATCTCCATTCAAAAGGGAAGATAATCCTCCAACTAAAAGACTTTAACCCAGCAGCAACATATTGAAGAGAGGTTGGCGTGACTCACAAGAGGATGATCTTGCGGTTGATATCTGGTCTGCAGGGGAAGGGAGAGGGGAAGGCCTGCTGACTGAGCAGACTGTCGCTCTGATCCTGTGGCGTCTCCTCACCATCCTCACCCAGCTGCTGCTGCCACGTGGGGAGAGTCTGGACATCTACAAACTGAGAGCGAGCACCCAGAGGATCCATCCCAGGTCTCCGAGCAGCTTCACTGCAAGAAGGATTCAAGAGAGGAAATCTAATTATTCAGTAACATTAGAGTCGAGTTCATTTTATTTATGAAGCATAACATTTCCAGAAAGTTGTGGAAAACGCTCAGTGCAATGTTCCCCTAGGCCAAGGTGACGTCTACAAAATGTCAAGGAGATGATGAGACACAATTATAAAAATAGAACGTAGAGCTGACTCCAGAATTTGATTTGTTAATCCTTCAAATCATCGACGAAGCTAAAAACATCAGTGATTGAGATTTGATGCTTTTCTGTGTCTGTGTCACAGTTTTCTGACATTTTATAGAGGAAACAATTACAAGACTAATTAAAAAATATGAGTCGAACTTAATGAATTAGCTAAAGAATGGTCGTATTGTACTGGGCTGGTTGATGAAGTCCTCATACTTCAGGCCTGTGCTGTTTCACACTGCAGCACATTTTGCGATACTACCTCGTTTATTTCTCTATGATGTTGCGGTCGGTTTCGTTCGGATCGGTTTCATGCTTCCTCTTCTCTGGGTGGTTTATTGCAGGTTGGTTTAAAACAGCAGCTCTGGAGGAGAAATCCTGCTGTGTGATTTGGCAGAATATAGAGGACATTGATGTTCCCTATTTTTGTGATCAAACATTTTTGCTTGATTGTCTCAGCTGGAAATATCTGGAGGTGACGTGATTTTCTAAATTTGGGGATTTTAGTGTCGACAACGAAACATAAAATACACCTTAAATAATTCAGTCGCTCTAGAAGAACCTGCACTTGATGCTTTCGTGCTCTGTTTCACGTCTTTGTAAAGATAATCATCTGATCGGGCTGTTTGAAGCAATCACTGATATTGATCTTGATCTTTTAACGGAGCTCACGATCAATACATTTATATGACGTTATCTATTCTTTTCCCGTGAATGAATTTTCAGCTCTATCAGCTCCCAAGATGAGACGATTTGCAGTTTTCTGTCAGTCATGTGTTGGCATTAAACTAAATAAGTCAAATATGGTCCAGTGAATTCTACTTTCCTCTGTTTTACATCTTTACAAAGTGAATATCTTCCTGCTTTGCACTGTTTGAATGCATCATTGATCTAAAACAATGTGACTGAATGAATAATCAGTAATCCACAGTTTACAGGTGAAATGAGGATAAACAGAACTTCCCTGAGAATAACAAAGCTCGAGTTTCTCTTCTACTCCCCAGCTGCTGTCAGAGAAACACTCGTTTATCCTCCCACGTGTTTCTGACAGCTGTCAGGTCTGAGATCTGCAGCTGGATGAGTTTAATTAATGAGCAGGTTGAGTTTCAGAGCAGGTCGAGCTGTTACCTCCTCACTGTTGAGTTTCCTCCAGACTCAGACGTGATGTCCACAATAAAACCAGTAAAAAACGATCGATGTCGACGTGTGTGTCCTCAGGACGAGCTGTCGCTGCTCGGTGTTTTCATCCTGACGAGGGAAGAACCCGCAGCAACAACGACAACAACGCGTGAGACTCTGGAATCTGCCAGATGAGCAGGTTTACAACATTAGCCAACATGCTAGGTGCTAACCGCTAACACGTCAAGGAACCAGGAAGTACAGTTAATGACATCCGCTTCGGGTTTCAGAATAAAACCACGAGGAAACCTCGAAAGTTGAATTTTAGTTTTTACAGAAGTTTATTTTTGACGCACTGGCAGAGGATCTAGAAAACTTAGACCATGATGAACTGAATTATGTCTTTTTATAGGAGCATATTCAATCTGCTCTGTGGGTTTTTACGCTCTTCATTAATGCAAAAGCAGAACACGTGTGTTTTCTTACGGATTGTGTGATATTTCCATATTTTCCTCATAGGATTAATAATATGCATGTGTTTCCTTTGAGGGGAAATTAATTAAATTCCCGATTGTGCTCTGTAGTCATGAGATTGTTCATGATTTTGTTTTCTGGACGTATTTTCATGTGCATGATAATTCAAGAGGTTAAAGTAGAAACATCATACTTTGCACAGGCTGTAGAAGATCCGAGCACATTTTGGAGCAGTTTGTTATATTTTTGCACACGATGAGGTCAAACTTGTGAAGAAAATGTGTTCTTGATGATTTGTTATTGTCATGATGTTTATGATGAGATCTAAGAGCCTCTTATCGAACCTCTGCTGTTGTTGAAAAGTTTAAAAAGTTAATTATCGTCCTTTTCTTGCCTTGTTCTTTCTCCACTGTGATAATTCTGAAGTCATGTCCTGATGGTAAACACGGCAGGCTTTTATTTTCTATCTAGTTTCCAGTACTATACCTATTGTTGAAATTCAGCTTGACGTTTCCCATCAGCTCCTAATCAGCTGACTGATGAGAGAACAACGTTTCAGTTTTTAGTTTACAGACCTGATTTCTGTCTAAACTATAATCCAACAACAATAATAATAATAATAATGATAAAACTGTGGTGAATCATGATGAAGATGAAGAAAATCAAGTCATTTGTTTATCACGTGTTTGTGCGTCTTCTTCTGGTCACAGACAGAAACAACAGAAGCAGAACCATCGATGAGAAGCAGTCAGGTGCTGGAAATATTTAGAATTAAAATAAAATAACTCTAAGTACCTCTCTGCAACAATACTCCGTTACACGTAAAAGTCAAGTATTACAAATGTACCTCAAGTGAGAAAATGGAAGTTTAATCAGAAAACATGGATATTTGCATGGATGGATTTCTTTACATGTCATGATGGCGTCCCCCTGTGGACAGATGGAATCTGGATATTCAGCTTTTTATTATTATTTATTCACTCATTTCCTGTTTTATGTGTGTGACAGAGTTGTTTTCTGTAAAGCCACATTTTTGTTTTTGAATATGTTAAAAATAAATCCCACATATTCTGAGCCAGTTTGGGGCTTTATTATTAAACGTGGTGTGATTTTAAAGAAAAATAATAATAATAATAATAATCATGATCATTCTGTGTTTTGGATTAGAGTCATTTTTATATGGGGGATGTTTTGTGTGTTTGAGTGATGAAATAAAACAATTTACGTCTTAAAAAATAGAAATATGAAACTATCAGATGCGAAATTGCTGTCAGGACAATATTCACAGCCACATATCGTCATAATAAATATTATATTCTGCTCATGTGCCTCAGTGACGTGTCCGTTTTATTTCTAAACTTATTTTACAGCTGAAGCAGAAAGTGTAAACACCGAGTCGGAACGAACGAGACCCCTTGTCAACAAACCACCACGGAAGACTTTAGCGCCGGACCGCTCTGTCCCTCTTGTATTATCTTCCGGCTCTGACACAAGTGGGCTGTCAGTTATGAAATGGGTTCGAGGCCGAACAGGACGTCGCTTCGCGTGAACCTCGTGCACTTTGTTTAATTCTTCTGGAAGTTCGGTGTCGTGGTGACGGAGAAGTTTGAAGATGCACAGGCAGGTTTTATGTCACCGCAGCGCCGCGGCCGTCGCTGCCCGGAGGATGCGCACCATCGTGGGGTCGGTGCTGGGACGAGACTCCTGGATGTGGAGAACTCATGAGGTGAAACTTCTCAACACGTCCTCAGGTAATCTGTGAATCTCACTCGTCACCAGCTAATAACACTGTAGATAACACAAGCAGCTAACACAAGCAGCTGGAAACGTGTCTGTGTTTGGTCACAGCCGGTTACACTAACACAGCTGCTTTAGTTAATGGATGTGATTAAAAACACACACAAGTTATGTGATTTACAGCCAAACACAACACGTGGATTATGTGTCTGACGGAAATCAAACGTACATTTTAACTTGGAAACAGAAAAATACGTTGACTTAGCTTGTAGGTGAAAGGTTAAAAGCTTTGTGTCCAGTGAACCACAGGTTAACTCACATGTAATAACTGGTTAATTGGTTTTAAATGGAAGTTTCTGTCTAATTCGAGTCAAAGAACATTTGTTTGATGGTTCTACTTTGTGATGCAAAGTGAAATCAATGACTTCATTAATGAATCACTTCCCTCAGCTTCATGTCAGTTATAAAGAATGAATAAGACCAGGAGGGAACAACCAAGCAGCATCTTTTTACCTCTTAATTCTATTAATTATGCTCCTCTAATAAACTGCTTGGATTGTAAAAAAAATATATTCATAATATATTTTATTTATTACGATGCTTAATGACATTTACAACTTTATATTTCTTTACTAATCTTGTGCTGACTGAGTCCAAAACTTCAGTCAGTCGGGTTGTTGATTGGACTTTGTTTTGATATTTACTTCAATGAAGTGAAATCCAAAAATATTAACTTTGCACGAGCACCCGAACTGTTTGCTTCTCCACATCAGCAGCAGCTGTTGTCACTGGTGTGAACTTAAGTTTCCTCTGAGGACAAAACTCCTCATGTTTTTACTGCGTTTTTCTCGTGACAATTTTGTTGAGCCAAGACTGAGTGATGGTGCCCCCTGTAGGAGCCATGTATGGAAGTGTAACGTTAGTGTTTTCAGCTCAAGATGGACAATAAAGCTGAGATCACAGACCCAAAGGTACTTTCAAGTGATCAGTGTGGGGAGAGAATCATTCCCTCACAGTGCCGTCCTGAATACCGTCTGTGAGACATGTCATTTATTGGTTACCTCTTCTTTCTGCAGGAGACACAGTAAAGATCGGAGAAATCTCCTACAAACTCAAAATACCTCGGAATCCAGAGCTTGTTCCTGTCAAACACAGTATGTGTATTTTATTTAATATGTTTAAATATGTTTAAACTAAACAAACGTCTGCGTGGAATGAAAGGAAGGCGATGGTGAAACAACGGTTACTAACACTTTGTTGGGTTTCGGTTTGCTAGTTACAGACTCCCTACCTCAGACAGTGGCTCAGCACCTGCGATGGATCATGCAGAAAGACCTTTTGGGACAGGATGTGTTTCTCATTGGTCCCCCAGGACCCCTGAGACGATCCATAGCCATGCAATACCTCGTGAGTACACACGAAACACACAGGCTCACACTTTCTGTTATCTGCTGTAACAGTTAAGCCTTTAACATTTTCAAGGGTTCCCTCTGTTTAGTGAAGCCAAGTTTTCAATTCTCATTAAACAGGAATTGACAAAACGGGAAGTCGAGTATGTCGCTCTGTCCAGAGACACCACAGAGACAGACCTGAAACAGAGGAGAGAGATCCGCTCAGGGACGGCCTTCTACATAGACCAGGTAAACCCCTTGAGTGGAGACAGTTTTCTTTTCAATTATAAACAAGCAGGAAATTAATTTCCCCTCCCCCCAGTGTGCTGTGAGGGCAGCAACTCAAGGCCGAGTCCTGGTCCTGGAGGGGCTAGAGAAGGCCGAGAGGAATGTTCTGCCGGTCCTCAACAACCTGCTGGAGAACCGAGAGATGCAGCTGGAGGACGGACGCTTCCTGATGTCGTCTGAGCGTTATGACAAGCTGCTGCAGGTCAGAGCGGCACACTCGCTTACATAATGTGTAGTCGCTGATAAAATCCTTCCCCCTATGAAACCACATTTAAACCTGCTTATTGCACACGCTCCTTCCTCCTCTTGATCACGGAGCCGTGTCTGCCTGACTCTTCACACCTTCCTCAGTGCTGTTCTTGTGTTTAAATGGAAAAGTATACTCTGCCTCTCGCTATGAATACTCAGTCATGTACCTACAGTAAAATGAAGCATTTGTACCTTGATGTATTGCAGGAGCACACCAAAGAGGAGCTGGACAGCTGGAAGATTGTGCGTGTGAGTGAGGACTTTCGGGTCATCGCTCTTGGTCTTCCGGTTCCCAAGTACAAGGGCAACCCGCTGGATCCTCCTCTCCGCTCTCGCTTCCAGGCCAGAGACATCTACCACCTGCCGTTCAAGGTCAGTCCTGGAATTTTAAGATTACCCAACACCAACAAAAGGTGTTAAACATGTGAGGGGAGCATCTGGCAAAAGGTGTGACAATAATACTGCTACAGGAAAATACTGCTGAATTTCCTGAATCTAATGTTTCAGGTGCTTTCTTCATTTTCAGAATGTTGCCACATCTACTTTGGGGATTTCAAACATGTTTTTCAACTCAGTGTTCCTTCAGATGTCTTAAGTGTGTCATTGTATTTTCAGGACCAGTTGGAGTTGTTATATACAGTGGGACCAAACATTGCTGCAGAAAGGTAAATTCAAAATTCTATCAGTGAAGCTAAAAGGTTTTCAAGTGGCTTTTTGGACAAGTGTGAGTGTTCATGTGAGACGTAATGTGCACTGGGTTCTATCCTCTCCTGCGTCTCAGGGTCTCCCAGCTGCTCTCGCTCGCCACGACACTGTGCTCCCAGGAATCATCCGACCTGGGCCTTCCTGACTTCCCTGTGGACAACCTGCTCCCTGCTCTCCACGTGCTGGTGAGAGTCCAGACGATATAATCCGTCTCTAAGGAACAACAAAGAAGAGAGGGCTATTAATTAGAAAAAAATACTCTTGCTTCTACCTTTTGGTTAATTGATATGTCTGATGCTTGTCTTTTGCAGAACGCCGTCCCTATGTTGTCCTCCCAGCAGTTAGTCCAGAGACTTTACCCCTACGCCAGTATTTTGGGAAAAGATGGACGCAGCGCTGTAGAGGGCGTTCTCGGTGTAAGTTGAGTCGTCAACCACCAGTAGAAATGTCTTCATCTGTATGTGAAGTCACTTAGATACATTTTTCAAATGCATGTATTCTGTGCTGTTGTTTTTCAGAGATTTGAGCTCTTGGACGGTCGCCGTGCGCCAGCGCCTGGTGCTCTAAAGAGTGTGTCAGTGACGAGGGAGAGTGAGGGTCGTGCAGATGTCACATTACACGTCAAGGACAAAGACATCACGTTTCAGGTAACGGTCGATCCCATGTGGACAACCACTACGTCTGTGAGGAGTGACAGACATAGACAGATGTCTGTTGTCTCATGGTCACACACAGACACTTCCTCTGTCCATCATTCTGCAGGTTCCAGCAGGGACCAAAGAGCCACGTCCACCAAACAGCAGCCCCAACTTCATCAGCACACCGAGCCACTCCCAGCTGCTGTCTGAGATGATGCAGTCACACATGGTGAAGGACATGTGTCTGATAGGAGCCAAGGTACCTGACTCATAATGCACAGCAAACAGTTCATGCTCAGTGTGATCGCTGCTTTTAATCACAATCATTTTTCTATTTTCTAGGGTTGTGGCAAGTCGGTGCTCGCCAGAGAGTTTGCTGAGATTCTGGGTTACAGCATCGAACCAGTCATGCTCTACCAGGTGAGCCAACATCAGTAAACTTTGGTCAAAGATTCAAATTGTTTGATTTTTAAAGTCTGGAGCCATCTGACTTTATTTTACTGTGAAAATACCTCAGAGCATGTGATGTAATACTTTGTAAATACTATTTGTTTTATCCAGTTTCACGGTCTGATATTAAACACACTGGTACCTTCACCTCCCTCTACTTGATTTCTCTCCATCCTTGCTTCGTGTTCACTTGCACTGACCCCTACCCTCATCTCCTCCCTCCTTGCTCCTCTTTCCCTTCCAGGACATGACAGCCCGGGACCTTCTCCAGCAGAGGTACACCCTCCCTAACGGGGACACAGCGTGGAGGCCGTCTCCGCTGGTCACGGCTGCCATTGAGGGCAAGCTCCTGCTTCTCGATGGAATTCACAGGGTTAACCTGGGAACCCTGGCTGTGCTGTCCAGGTACTTCAGTCTGATCAAAATATTGTTTCTACGATTTACATGCTGTTAGTTGTGGACACACAGACACACACGTCAGCTCATTCCTCTGTGTTTTGTGTCTCAGGTTGCTACACGACAGGGAGCTGGATCTGTATGACGGGACCAGGCTGCTGAGGTCGGACAGATACCAGACACTAAAGGAACAACTGCAGCTCAGTGACGAGCAGCTGCAAGAGAGGTACAGACACACAGACACACACAACTCAGTACACAGATGATTGTGGGTTATGTGTGGGGGAAGGAGAGAAAGACTTCATGATAATCCCATTCAGCGTGAGTAACAGCAGGAAATGGGTTAACTTCAGCCCAGAAGTCCCACCACAAACATCCTTCCTGCCGGGTTAGGTGGGTTCTTGTACACAAAACGAATGTGCATGTACAAAAACCCACCTAACCCGACAGGAAGGATGTGTGGGCTGAAGTTAACCCCTTTCCTCTTTCACTCTACCTACACTTCAATTATTTCACGCTTTTCTTTTTCTTGTATTCATCCCTCTCTCTGTGTGCGTCCGTGCATGTGTGTGTATATATATATGTGTGTGTCTGTGTATGTGTCCTCCAGGATTTATTTATACTTTACAGTACATGTTTCAGTTTTTTTGTTTGTCTTCTCAGGTCAATCTTCCCCGTCCACCCGTCCTTCAGGGTGATGGCCCTGGCGGAGCCCCCTGTCGTAGGGGCCGCTGGAGGCAGCAGCAGCAGTGGAGGTCAGCAGTGGTTGGGCCCAGAGCTGCTCACGATGTTCCTCTACCATAGTGTCACCCCGATGGCCAAAGCAGAGGAGATGGGCCTCATACAGGGACTGGTAAGAGACACACACTGTCCCGTCAAGCCATTTCCCACTAATTACTACAAATTCCCTAGATCTGGACTCTTTATTTGACCAAGGAACAAACCATTAACTTAGATGAAGGGGGCAGATCATTGTGAGCGTTGCAACAGAAAGGATTTATAGCAGGACAAACTAATATACAAGTAATCAAATGATTCAGTTGGAAAATAAGAACAATTCTTTCAATCAGTCTTTTCCTTCCATCGTTCAGACGCCGAATGTTCCAGCGGAGGCAGCGGAGCAGCTGCTGCTCCTCACACACAGCCTCCGCAAGACCAACGATCCCACAGTAAGTGTGTGTTCTGCCCGTTTGATAATGTGTGTGATCTAAGTAATTTATTTGTCTATGGTGTGTGTGTGTGTCTCCAGGCACAGTCTCTGGCCTCTTCTCTCTCCACCAGACAGCTGTTGAGGATCTGTCGTCGTCTCTCTCAGTATCCTGAGGAGAGCATCGCTCACGCAGTCAACAAGGCTTGTCTCTCCAGGTCTGTACACACACTCAGACTCACACACACGTTACTTTGTGTTAATGTGATTGTACGCTAGTGATTAATTGTGTTGTTGTGTGTGTGTGTGTGTGTGTGTGTTAGGTTCCTGCCCAGCCTGGCCCGAGCCTCTCTTGAAAAGAGCCTCGCCAACTGCTCCATACAGGACAAACCAGATCCTGCCGAACAAGCTGAGGATTACAGCTGTAAGTTCCTGTCACCTGTAAAATATCATCATCAGTTAAAAGTTTCTAGAAGCGACTTAGCTCCAGAGGAGGAGAGATGTTCTCCACTCACAGTGTCTGACCCCCTGTGTCTCCAGGTGTGGTGAAGGATGGCGTGTTGACTATCGGCAACGTGTCCGCTCCCATCTACAACCCCAGCGAGAAGATGAAGGTTCCCGATGTACTTTTTTATGACAATCCCCAGGTAATTACACATCCACTCACAAAGATACTGCACATACTGATCACATACATGTCTAAACCGAATCTGAAGCTGCACGGAAACATTTAACTCGGCTGTTTCTTTTCAGCCTGTAACTGTAGAAGAACATTTCCAGGACGTGACCCACACATGAGAAACAGTCAGTGTCGTGTCTGAACTGAGGGTTTGTTTGTTTGAATGTCTCTGCAGCACATGAAGGTGATGGAGGACATGTTGAAAGACTTCCTGTTGGGAGAGCACCTCCTCTTGGTGGGCAACCAGGTGAGTGACATGTGATCGTATCATCCTGAGTTCTCTTCACAGCCTGTGTTACTGAAACGCAGCTGCTGCACACAGATTCTTTTCTGTAACTTGGTTTGATTGCTGAATGTTTTGTTCTTCAATTCTTCCACAGGGAGTGGGTAAGAATAAAATAGTGGACCGGTTCCTGCACCTGCTCAACAGGCCCAGAGAATACCTGCAGCTCCACAGGTCAGGAGAGAATCAGTGTGTTATTCACAACTGATTTACTGATTTCCAACTTTTGTTATAAGAATATAAATTCTGTTTTGTGTTTAAACATTCGACCTTTTCCACAAGTTTGAAAGTCAAATATACCTTTTTTAAGTGAAAGTATAAGTGCAGTTTGATTTCAAGAAGTTAATATCTACAAGGTGACAATAATATTGATTCTGAATCTGGACGTGTGTGTTTAACCCTGTTTTCTGCTTCTTCCAGGGACACAACTGTTCAGACTCTGACCCTGCAGCCCTCTGTCCGAGATGGCATCATCACGTATGAGGACTCCCCCCTGGTCAGCTAACACACACTCTTGCTTCTGTAAATGTATGTTATAACATATATATGACATCAGTTCTTTCTGTGGGTTGGTGTGTTTGCAGGTGAAGGCAGTGAAGATGGGTCACATCTTAGTGATCGACGAGGCCGACAAAGCTCCGACGAACGTCACCTGCATCCTCAAAACCCTGGTGGAGAGCGGAGAGATGATTCTGGCCGATGGACGCAGAATCATCTCAGGTACACACACACAAACTTGAGTGCTCCTGATGCTATCACACTGTGTGTGTGAGACACAAATCAAAACATTAAGAATTAGATAAGAGTTACAGGCAGAAGCAGATGAGAGCTCACTGTGGTTTGTGTTTGTCCTGTCGTGTGCTAACCACGACTGTCTCTCCTCCAAAGATCCACGTGAAGCCAAGGGGAGGCCCAACACCATCGTCATGCACCCAGACTTCAGGATGCTGGTGCTGGCTAACAGACCTGGCTTTCCTTTCCTGGGCAACGACTTCTTTGGAGCTTTAGGTAAATACAACGTCCCCATTAGACATTCAGTCACTTTGTCTTATTTGATAACAACTCAGCAAGTGAGGATAGAAACAGGATCCTCTGCTGGGAGCGCTCACGTCTAACCTGGTTGAACTGTTGTCAGACCTGCACTGAGTCTGGATATCGTCCTGAAAAGTTCTGGAGGTTCTTCATGTGAGAACAAAAATGTTGCTCCAGACATTTTAAGAACCTTTCCTGCCAGCCCCCCCATGTTGATAGGTTGTTGACTGACCATACAAAGCGACCAGCAGACGTTTGTGTTGACTAGTTGTTGTTCTCTCAGGTGACATCTTTAGCTGCCATGCTGTGGACAATCCAAAACCTCAGGCTGAGCTGGCGATGCTGAAGCAGTACGGCCCTGACGTTCCCGATGCCACTCTGCAGAAACTGGTGGCTGCGTTCGGAGAGCTGAGGTCCATGGCCGACCAGGGCACCATCACTTACCCCTATTCCACTCGAGAGGTGGTCAACATCGTCAAACACCTTCAGGTGAGAAGGGACACCAAGCCTTTCTATCTTCTCAGGTTTAGTCTCAGATGATCTATTCGTCCCTCCCTGATCTTTTATTCTCTTTACTCTTCTCCCTGACCTCTTCCATCTTCTCTTACTTCATCATCTCTACCGTTTGCCCTGTTCTCATTCTCCCACTTCTTCACCTCCCCACAGAAATTCCCTGGCGAGGGTTTGGCCAACGTGGTGCGAAACGTCTTCGACTTCGACTCGTACAACAAAGACACGCGAGAGATTCTGATCGAAGCGCTGCACAAGCACGGGATTCCCATCGGAGCCAAGCCCACCTCCGTCAAACTGGCTAAGGAGTAAGACATCAGTTAACTCTTTTATTCAGTGATGGACTGATGAGATTTTGTTGTCTCTCCATCCCGCTGCTGTCGGAGGTCGACTAATTGTTCCTCCAGAGAGGACGGGTACTATCGACGGCCACTGATTCTGTCGAACGCTCTTAGACATCGAACATCAATAGAATTCTTATTTTTCTCTGTAGACTGAACCCGTTGTCATGGTAACACTAGAAATCTATCGGAGGCTTCTCATTAATTATATGAAAGCGCTGTCACTGCGACATGTTTTAAAAATATCAGAAGCTTTTGATGCGTCTGTTTTTATGTGATTATGATCTAAGACAAACATTCAATTTAACAACACAGACTCAGAATGGACGCTACATTTTTTTAAACTGAATTTTAACTTTTTTTTTCCAGTTTGTCGTTATTGTGTTTATTTGACAACATTAAAAGTACAAAGCAGCTTCTGAGGGGTGAGTGTTTCTGGGTAGAGGGTCTCCTCTGATGGGAGATCCCTTATAGAACATTTACTGATTTAAATCCTGAAAAGCTTGAAAGCAGCTGACAACTGAAACTGAGGCTTCCATGAAGTCTCCGCGCTGCTTCCTGAAGTGTTAAATTGATCTCTGCAGCTCATTACTCACATTACCTCACCTTTCCTGCCAAAGGGAAAGATAATATTCTAAATACCCACTACGTTGTCTCATCATGTGCTGCTGATAAATAAAGGAAAATATTTGTTTCTTCTGTCTCCTGTGGTTTTATTTTAACTCAACACGTTCATTAATTCTCATCTCAAGTGAACTCTTGAGAACCGAGCAGAGCAGAAACAAGTATTTTCCTTCACTTAGTAGATGATCTGATCCGTTATGTCCGTTCTTACATCATCCAGGCTCCGTGGGTTTTGTGTCTGTTTGGATCAGTGATTTAAATCTTCAACACACACACAAGTCCCTTCTCCCGTATGTGTTGGTTTTACTCTTCTGGAATCAAATTAAAAACCTCTGTTTTTAAGAAATCTCTTTCAAAACAGAATAAAGCTTCCATCCTGAAATCATTTTGCAGCATTAGATTAGCTACACTATGTAACTTACTGAGCAGCAGCGCCCTCTGCAGCCTCACGTTGGGATTTATTCCATTTCCGATCGATGATGTGAGTTTTTTTTGATGGAGATAAAAAACAAAGTGTATATAAATATACAAACAGAGTGTAACTTCATTAGTTCTCACCAGACGTCACCATGTGACCTTCAATCCGCAGGTTGCCCCTGCCGGAGGTTCAAATGACCGGACACTGGACGATAAACCAAGAAGGCAACGCTCGCCGCAAACTGCTCTGTCCCACTGAGACACACCGCATAGACATCAAGGTGAACACACAAGAGAGACACAATCTGAAACACACAAACGAACAGTGAGTTTCCCCACACATCTCATGTGAGTGAGAATGAATGAATGATTGTGGTTCAATGGATTATTATGGTGACAGTTCATCGTAGTGAACAAACTCAAACTAACTCATGTTACCAACAACTTTTCTGTTGTTTCTGTTGCCGCTCAGAATAAACAGCACTCACACTGTGGGGGGGGGATCGATTGATTTTACTTGATCGTCAGACACGTCAAACATAAAAGAATTAAGACAAGACCACTGTTGTTAGTTGGTCTGTTAGTGTGCATGTGTTCACATGCGTGTGCCGCTGTCACAGTCTTCATGTTGCTTGTTCTTGTGCATCCAGGGCCCCGTGTTCCTGCGTGTTCAGAGTTACCCCTGCAACAGGCAGGAGAGCAGGGCCTTGAGTTTCAGCGAGGAGACAGCCCACTGGCAGATTCCCATGAATGAGGTCAATATCATCTGTGACGTCGCCACCAAAGATGGTACACACACACACACACACACACACACACACACACACACACACACAACCAACACTGTCGTACAACACCTTCTTAAGTGTAAGGATGAAGGATGTATTGTTTTCGTTTGCAGATGTGCTGTATGTGGCCACGTGTAACCCGGTGTCCCTGTTCTCCATGAGGGAGCGCGGTGACACCATCCAGAGCATGGAGCTGTACGACGTTTTCCCCAGAACCATCAGTGGCGTCTGGCAGCCCTTTGTCACCATCGCTCCTCTCGGGAATCCTCTGGACGGACAGGTGGTGCTGCACGAGGAGCAGGTTGGCAGACACACACACACACAAAGGTGACATTGTGTTACTAAACGATAACAATAATAATAAAACTCCTGACGAGGAGCACGAACACTCAAACTTAAGTACTTGTGAAGTTCATAGTTTCTATCAACGCACTTGAATCTGATTGAAAAACTGATATTTCTGACCTTGATTTTCTGAGATCCAAATAAAATTCACGTAACAGTCGACGAGGCCTGGTGTGTGGAGGTATGAGTGCATTAAGTTCATCGGGGCCAGTCTCATACGGGAGTTTTAATTCTTTCATTTTGCTTTTTCACCAGAGTAACACCGTGCTCCATTTGGACTTGGTGACAGGCGCCGTGCGGAGGTTGCTGCTGTCTCCAGACGGGGATCAACCCGCCGGCAGAGCTTCAAACTGGTGGAGCAGTAAAGAGCAGCAGGTCAGAGGTGTCAGGCAGCTGGTGGCTCTCAATGAGTCGAATCATCAAGTTTCTGCAGATGCAACGATATTTTACTTTAACATCGTGCGTATTTTGTTCTTGCAGGGAGGTCATAAAATGTGCCGCGACTTCTCTCACAAAAACTGGCTTCTCTTCTACAAGGAGGGCGGGTGAGCAACTCTGCTCTTATCCTCAACACGCAGCTTTTCCAGCCGCAGGACGTGACAGATTCTGTGTGTTTGTGTTTGCAGCAACCAGCTTGAGGTGCTGGATGTGCTGGAGGGCCAGGTTCACTCCATCTCCCTCCCCATCAACCTGAAGTCCGTCTTCCTCGTGGCAGAGGATCGCTGGCTCCTGCTGGAGAGCAACACTAACAAGTGAGCTCTGGATCTCAGATCCTCCCTCATGCACTCTCTTATTGTAAATCAAATAAATAAATATACAAATATATTCATAGCACTTTTAAAACAACCGCTGGCTTAAAGGCTAGAAATTAAAATAAAAGAATACTGAGAATAATTAGAAAATACAAAAGCAATAAATGTTAAACATCATAAATAATGAACCATTGAAATATTGGACAATAAAAGATGAAATCAAGGTCTCAATCTAAACTGAAGTGGGTCTGAACAATGATTAAAACGTCTCTGGGGTCAGAGCGGTTCTGATATGAAGAGATAAACTGTTCCAGAGATTAGACGCAGCCCCTGCAAAGATCACCTCTATTTCTATTTCTGAGCCGAGGTCTCAAACATCCAGAAGCATCAGGTTGGTCGACCTCAGTGATGAAGATGCAACAGCTCCATTTTAAAAAGTGGTTCCCAACACAATCCTGATTCCAACAGGAAGCCAGTGAAGATACTGGTGTAATATTATCCAGCTAGGAAACAAGCTGCTGCGTTCTGGAGAGACGACTGTTCCATACCAGCAAACAGGGAATGACTGTTATTAAGATTATCATAGATTTAATATGACTGAATGTTACTGTGGGTTTTCACTACACAGGAAGTTCCTGCTCACCAAACCCATGCACATGGCAGCAGAGGAGTCAGGAGTGTGTCAGCTCCACAGCATCAGTGAGGACGCAGTCAGCTCAGGACACGGAGCCCACTCAGGTATGTACCGAACAGTGAGGACGTTCAGGATGGACTCTGGACAAAGGTCACCAGAGCTTTGTGTCCTCTCCTGAGGCTCTGAACTATAATGAAACACTGTTGGTGAAACCGAGCAGATCTTTTTATCCTATTTGATTTTCTTCAAGAACAGGAAGTGTATGAATCTGACGCAGGGCAGTACTTCATTTCACTTTGTGTGTAAAAGTATTTCTATCTGTTGCCTTTGTCCCCCTCCACGCTCCTCCCAGCTGAGGTGTCCGTACCGCAGATGCTGTCATGTGACCAGCTGCCCAACGAGAACCTCAGCGCCGCCCTGAACCAGAAGATTGTTTCACCCAACCGCATATTGGCCGACAGTGGCTCCTTCGCACGGGTCGTTGTCGGCTTCCCAGACCTCATGGTGAGTCCGATTTCTCTCAGCACTCGAAGGATGTCAAGTAATTGAATGTTGAAGCCGGTTGCTCTGCAGCAGGATGGATCAAAACTAAAGCTGTTTTCAGACGTGACCTTCCGAGGATCTCTGAAGGTCACGTCTGAAAACAGCTGTGCTTTGTGAATACTCATCCCTGATCTCTGATTGGTCCAGTCCCCTAACGAGGTGTACAGCTTTAAGAGGCCTGTCGATCTGTCAGCGATGAAGAGCAGCGAGAGTGGGGCTCACATGTTCCTGAGAGGCGGGCTTCAGTCCAGTGCGGCCAAACAGGTGAACTGCGTCAGTCTGCTCTCAGCCAATCAGGTTGTCCGAGCCCTTCCGCCCACCAAGGTGCCCCTGAAGGAGGTCTACCCCAAAGGTCAGAGTTCAGATCATCAAATTAAAGTTTTGTTTGCAACTCGGAAAATGAATTAAAACGTAGATGGGATTGTTTTTTCTTGTTGGTCACTCAGACGTCACACCTCCGATGACGGCGGCGTATCTGGAGGTGACTGACCTCAGCTCCAAAAAGGTCAAATACATTCCCGTCCCGAGGTAAACGCAGCTCACCTGTTTCTCACTGTGTCACTTTGTAAGAACATATTGATCATCATCATCAATGTCACCATTATTAAAAACAACTTTTTTATATTGACATCATTTACAAATCAAAGGAATTAAAATATGTTGACGTCCTTTTGATGAATCGTCTTAGTGTCTCTCCCACATATTTCTATTTCTCAGGTCGAGGACGGTGTCGCCTTACACCAGCTGGTTGTCCAAAGTGTCTGAGTCCGACGTCGTCATCGCTCCCCTTGGCTCGGGGGGCGTGGTCACAGTGGATATGGGCGGGTACGTGCGGCTGTGGGAGACGGGATTGGACACCCTGCAGAGATCGCTACTGGAATGGAGGAATATGATTGGAACAGAGGACGGCCGGCCCGTACAGGTAACTCACAGTTTGATTTACTTTGTGACGTCCAAGGAAAAACAGACCTCGGAGCCTGTAGTTCATCTCAACACCACTGAGGGGCAGTGCTACTTCAGAAATGATATTGTGAACTGGTAGTTCAGCGCACGTCTCTCACTCTGACAAAATGTATTAGCTGCTGAAACATTCCTGACTTCATGCTAACAGGAGCGTTTCCAGGCCCAGGACCGACCCAGCTGTACCCAGTGTGGGTGTTTATGAGTGGACGGGCATTCATTAGGTTTGACCCTGAGTACTGGTCAGAACATTCAGACCCGCACACTGAGACGCCATTGTTAAGGTGCCCACATAAACACACACACACACACACACACAGGCGGATGAATTCTTTGGAAAAAGGAGCGTTCCAGATGTAGGGTGCAGTTATCTTGTGCACAAAGCAGATAGAGAGAAGACGCAACATGGACTGAGATGAAGGAATCAAGGAGGCTGATCATAAAACTGGATAATGTTGCTAAGTGACTCTG